CTGAATTATGGGCAAGTCCATATTGAAGGCGCATGGTTGCAAAGGATTCTGGAGAAAAAACGAAACTAGTTTATGAAGCAAGGCTGTACATTTCTTGAAACAACGAGTCATACATTTCTCTCTCTATCAGCAAAAAATGTTTGCACACTCGACCGCGGCCCGCATTTCGACAATGAAAGTTCGACAGCTGTTCAGGAAATGAAGAATAAAGTGTTCGGTGTTGCCCAGTACTGTTTTTCTCTGTGTAACGGACTCCACCTTCATTCGGAATCATCGTAACATCAACGTAGAATGTTTGGTTGGCCGGTCGTATAGGGCTTATGGACCGGCTCCTGTACATTGTAGACACCGGTATTTTCGATCTTATCAACTATCTGATGCCAGATAAGTAACCCCGGGGTTGAGACACCACTTATTTGCTCGAAGCAAGCTTAGTAGGCCTGGGCCCTATCATAGGCTTAAGCATAAGCCAATGTGTAAGCCTGAACCCTAAGTCTAAACCCAAGCTTTACTTCAGGCTTGAATGATCGCGAGCTTTGGCGGGCCTGGCTTGACCCCAGGAGGAGAACTGAACGTCGCTCGTCCGAACGAGACTGGCTCTATTATTTTGGTTCTTGGACCAGGCGTCAGCTAAGGCGAAACTCGTAGCTACCGTACTAGCAATCGGTACTTGCCAGTTTTGTTCCCCGCAGACCCTCTGGACTCTTTGAAAAACGGGGCCGGAGATAAAAGGTCACCAGCCTATATTTTTGCCTACCACAATATCCTTTTCATCACACTCCTTCCTTTTAACTCTGTCGATTCTCATGAAGCATTTTGGCTAATGTGACAATCCCGAAGTATTCCTAGGTGTGAGTGAGGAATGATTCAGGGCAAAAGGGAAAGGAAGCGGTTGATGTGACATCGAAGAAGGCTCAGAACCAGCAGATTCATTTTACATAAGATACACTTGATTCGAGCTAACACTCAGTCAGCTCACATTTTGTGAATACTTTGCAAATATTCGGGGAGAAATGTCGATTTTCCCCTTTCATTTTGCACAACATACTGCACAAATTGAAAGTATCTACCACAGAGTTGCAAGCCATACTGCATTTAAGGTACTACCACAGAATTGCAAGCCATTTCTTGTACTTTTCCGCTGTCGACTATCCACTTTTTTCTCGAGGAGGGATGAAGCCCACTTCGAGATGGAGGGATAAATACCGTTCACTATGACAGATTAAAATGTTCACTTTGATCAGACCTAGCAGTACTTGATGACAATTTTTCCGTATTTGTCTGACTTCTGATGAATCGATACATTGAATTTCGGAAACTGGGCGGATTTCTACCGCACCTGTGCTGTAGCAGTGTCGCGGCGCCGATCTGCATCTTTACCCATTCCTTCAAATGTACCTGCATCAGTATATGAACGCTAGATGCTGCTCGGCACGAAAGCACGCAATGAGGTTGAATAGCGGTTTGATAGTGTTTGAATAGTGCCGTTTGAAGAAGCGCGATAGTTTCGGGTCAAATTTATGTGTTCTTCGGCGCTATCGCAAGATATAGGGACATCTTCTAGGACTGACCCAGGGGGACAGGAACATCGGGCGCCATCTGGAGCCACTTCTTCTCCGCCTAAGGGTAGTCCCATTTTTGACAGAACGGAGATGTGTTACGTGATTTGAAACGCATTGCCATACAGTGCCCCCGTATCTTGCGATAGCGCCTTTTCTTCCCCTCATAGCCACCCTTTTCACATTTTCGTCATGAGATCATCCTCAGAATAACCCCGCCTTCACAATGTGAGTCGTAGATTCGAGTCCATGACACCTGAAGCTGAGAAGATGAGGGGGAGGGGTGTTTGTGCTGATCAAGCGATATGATGAAGTCGATCTGGTCTTCCAGACTGCACAGACAGCGTAATCCAATGGATAGAGATATTACGAGAGAAAAGCGCGACGTTACACAACGGGACTGTGTCACTCGACCCGGTGATGTTTACCGTCGCCCTCTTCTTCAGCTCTCATCGGCGAGCTCACTCAACCGCTGAGAACCGTACACGATGGCCTCCTGGGGTGAGTTGTCTGCTATTTGTACTTTACCCATTGAGTCTCGCAGCTTGCAAAAATTCAAAGAAAAGAGTTGTTGTACAGATTGTTAAAGAATCTTTTTACTGTGAGCGAAGGTACTGGAATGCTGTGCCTCTTCTCGCCCTTAGGGGTTCTTTCAGAAGCTGGGAATAGTACCACGGAGCAAGTACTTATTGGTGGAATTTGCTCGCTTTTCAGCCGTCCTGTTTTCAAGCAATATATTAGGGTCAGCAGATGATTTCTTGGTAAAGCAGCTAAGCAGTGGTCTGAGAGCGGTACTGTAATTTAACCTTGGAATGAAGCAACTGAGGCCAAAGCGGAGGTTGAAGAATTGCGCCTTAATATTCAGGAACTGTTGCGACGGTGAAGATAATCTAAAAAGATCTTAAGGCACTAGTTTCCAGCGAAGTTTGGTTTGGAGGCCTTTTTTGGCAATTCCTTTTGGAACAATTTTTTGCAGTTCCGCGTAATTTTCATAGCTTCCATAATGGATGATGATAATGATGAGTTAGAAAGTCACTATTTTTTATCTATTTTATTTGCAATTCTTCGAGACCCAGAAACCTTTCCAAGATTCGAAGTTATAAGCATTGCAGGCTCATGCATTGCGTCCTGATCTACAAACCACACAGGAACGATGTGCCTTCATAGGCCACCTTCAGCGCATGGTGCAGAGAAATAGGAGTAAATTTTGACTTTCAAGTTTTGACCTGGTCGGTCCTCATCGCCAGGTAACTTTTTTGCAGAATTTTAATTTTTACGACCCCCTCTTCACAGCCACTTCTTCCCTCAAAAAACACCCTCGAGGGGATGGGAGTGGCACGTTACCAAAACATGTACGACCCCCCACCACAAACTTCAACAAACTATGACCCCCCCGTTGTTACTTGTAGCAACGTAGGGTCGGCCCTGGTCTGGCCATAGTCCCGTACCTCAGGGCTAGTTATTAAAAGATTTCTTTACCGGGGTAGAAGTGGTATAGTGGCAAATGGCGCTGCTTACCACGCGCGCGGTTCGGGAGATCGAATCCTGGGTCGTGCGTCGTTCAGACCAAAGAGCGCTTCCCATCCCTCCAGGTCGCTTAATTGGTACCAGACTTGTTTGGAAGGATAAAAACGGCTGTTCTTTTGGGCTGGTCCCCGCAATCACTGTGTAGGCCAACCATCGCAATTCAAGTGCCAAACTACAATAATGTAACCAACTGGAAGTAGAATGTGTGGCCGCATTCCCAAGCAACAGCCGATCTGCGATGCCTATCCTTTTAATCATTATTCCTTCAACCTGATAGGAGTGGCCTTTATTCGTGGACATTCCCCCCCCCCTTCCCAGCTCATAATTATCACCACCACTTCATCCTTCACCTCCCCTCTTTGATGTATGTGCTGAACTGTAGAACAATTGAATGCTTTGATCTTTACATTATGTTTTTTGTTCCGCCCTGAGCACCGGACCGGTTCAAGGGTACAACGGCTATAAACACTCAACTAAATGCGAAAGTATGTTGATTGTCGCAGCCGCTATGTCTGTAACGATCGGATGAGGCACTGAAAATCAGGGCAGGGAATCTAATGTGGCGGCCGCAAAGCTGGCTGTCCACTACACACCTCTTTCTCCATTTCAAGTAGACATACCACACTTAAAAAGGATAAAGCATTTGCCGTTGATCAATCCCTTTTTGGGATGCGGCACGCATTCTACTTCCATTTGTACATTCGTAGTGGCGTTTGAATGCGATGTGGCCTATACAATGACTTGCGGGGCCAGCCGATGTACAAGTCAGTGTTTTTATCCTCCCAGACAAGTCTGGTACCAATTAACCGACCCCGGAGGGATGGAAGGCTTGGTTGGCCCGGGCGACTCACGACCCAGGATTTGATCCCCGGACCGCTCGCGTGGTAAGCGCGCCACTTGTCACTACACCACTTCCGCCCTAAAACTTAAGCACCAGTCGAATTGTTACGACGGTTATCTGCCCTTTCGACAATTGGTACCTAACAATAAACCGTAAGAAAATTAGGCCGCGGAGTATATTGAGAGCTCGCGGTGTAGACCTCGTCGCAAGCCAACAATCGCAGGACAGGCAGCTAGACCGTACCTTTGCTGCGCAATTCTGGGCAGCAAAACTGCATATTCCCTAAACTTTTGGGGTAGCTCTGCTTATCGTCAGGCGCTCGTGAATTACTTGCTTCTGCACAAAATAATGAACGCCGAGCCCGAGCCTTCCAAGCATCACTGCGTCATCGAGCTTAAGCTAACTGCGGTCATTCGATGGGTTACTGTACTGTGCTTGTCGTTAGCTGATCAGGTGGATCTTATAAAGGCTCCGATGAAGGCGAACTCGCCGAAATGTCAGCCGATCAAGTTCATCAACAATCTCGTGTGCAGCTATCAAAGCAGTAGTCTCCATCACCGTTATGCCGCGGTTTATCCAGAGTGGAGCATGGCAAGGGAAATGTTCTCCACAGAAGGGGAAGGATCTACCCGACAAGATGGGGGGCATGTGGTGCGACAGTTCATATCGCATGAAGTAATCCACTTTTTTCAGGGGAGGGAAGCTCCGGGGTGGGTGTAAAAGTTCAAGCGAAATGGTTCACGCACCCCGGGGATTCCCTCCCTTGCAAAAATTGGAATTTCTGTAGCCGGCAAGAACTGTCGCACCACATGCCCCCCTTACTGGATGAGCCCCATGGGAAAACTGGACGAAAACCCCGATCAGGGTGATGTGTCAAGTGTTTTCAGATCAAGAACTTCGCGATATGTTCCGTAGACATGACAAAGACATGTCCGGGTTTATAAGCAAGGACGACGTGCTGTGCATGCTTCTTGGAGCTGACAAGGTGAGTAGATCACTCCAACTTATGGCGTTCAGAATGATAGGAAAGACTTTCACATAGTGAAAGTTTAAACTACCCTCACGACGTTAAGGAGTCACTACGTTGGGTGAATTTTTACAGGATGAGCAGAAAGACCCTCTCTTCAAGACTCATTTGAAATTCCTCATCAATGTGATCAAGCAAGCCGACAAGGATGGTGACATGAAAATTAGTTTTGAAGGTTAGTTCCGCCGTTAATGTTTTCATCACCAGAACGCGAAAGTTGCTGTGAAATTTGGGTACCCGACGGGGCCCGTCGCGCGGCAAGAAGATAGGAACTTCAGCGGGCATTAAACTTTCAAAGTTTTTTTTTTTCAAAAATGGTACCCCTTAGTGGTGGAAAAAAGAAGAATTTGCCGCGGTGTCAGATCTTCTTCTCATTTTGAAGTTATAGTTTCTTTGAAGCATGTGGAAATGTTCAATAAGCACAGCTAAACGGGAATTGCAGTGGGTAAGTGATCCGTTGTTCCCATTCCTGCGGAGACTTAAAGCAACAGTCCCAGCAGGGTGGGCGTGGTCGGAAACGACTGCAATTCAATCCCCTCGGATCGATTCCTCCCACGCCCAGTTTCAGCTCCATGCCTAGCGGCTTTCCAAAGTGAGTTTTGTTCAGTCACACTTCTTACGTTCTTGAATAGGAAGCTGAACAGCTCCGAAGTGGGAATCGGACGAGGGGATCGCAGTCGTCTCCGACCATGCCCACCCTGCTGGGATTGTTGCTTCAAAAGCTATGGCTACCCTTCACTTAGCACTCCGCCAAACCTGCTTTGGTAAAAAGGATCACTCATGATGCTGCGTAAATTGTGATTTTTTGAGGTGGATTTTGACAAGCCTTGGGGCAGCAAGAAATACTGTATTTGAGAATATACTTCGAGTAATCCACAATGAGAGGGCCCGATTAAGAACTTGCATTTCCCAAAAAGTCGTTTTAGAAACAACGATACGAGTCGAGTCGGGCCTAAAAAACTGTTAGGAGGCCGTTGTGATCGTCGGCTCACACACGTTTCATCTACAAAAACCCTTTTTTCCGTGAGAACACGGCGGCGCTACTAGTCCGCGAAAGCAAAACACACCAGAGAAAGGCTTGCTAACACCTGCCTTCCCCCTCCTATTTTTGGACAGCCGACACGATCAGAGGGCTTACGGGGGAGTTAGCGAAAGTTCTAGAGCGAGTTCTGGTGTTAAACATCGGTAGAACTAAATGGTTTTTGTTTGTCGGACATGACAAAGAAAACTGGATAAGATTGCGCTGAGTAGTGTTAAAGCCTATTTTCCCCATGCCGGGCGCTGTATGTTTCCATGGGAGATCGAGGGAAATGCCACTTGTGGCGCCCTCTAAATTTTTTATTTAACTGAATAATTTACCGAATTTTCTACCAAGGCGTACACACTTAAAAAAGAGCACCCGGATTTCTTTAAATGGTCGATGAGAAAACACATAGTGGCTTCAACCCTTGCGCGCTCCAGGTAAATGCTCTGACGTATTAATAGAAAGCTAACTGAGTATTTTAGTAATCCTAGGGAGTGTTCCCATCTTCCAGTATTTGTCCCGCTAATTTTGAGTCGTAGTGAGTAATCTCAGTGTCCCAGCTGCCACCCGAATCGGCCACAACCGGCGGACTATAAAAAAGTCGAGCGACGGGCAAGGGATTTCGGACCTCGACCGTCTTCTGATGCCGTAGGGCAATACCGTTATCTGGCGGCCCTCCCGTCGCGGAAAGGGAGGGAGGGATTGCACGGAAGACCGTGCCGGCGGGGCAATTCGCCGACGCGCCCACTCTTGCTACAATCTCACGATTGACATTCTCCTGCCTTCGCACTACGAATCATAGGGCGTTTCGCCGCTCCCATTCACGGTTGCAGGGAAGAATTTCGCTGTTCTGTGTGCGACAAACTCCCAATTTCGACATACAAAACGTTTCGACCACGGCAGGATTCGAACCTGCAATCTTCTGCTCCGTAGGCAGACGCGTTATCCATTGCGTGACCAGCCGTCGGCTGCACTCTTTTCGCCACGAAATCTGCAAACCATCTGACTTACTACTGCTCGGCATCTACGAAATCATGGCGCTTTCGGCTCCATTCACGTTGCAGGGAAATTTCGCTGTTCGTGTGGCGACAACCCCAATTTCGAAAACATACAAAACGTTTCGACACGGCTAGATTCGAAACTCTGCAATTTCCTGCTCCGATAGGCAGACCGCGTATCCCATCTGCGCCACGCGGTCAACTCTTGCACACCACTCTGCAAGCATCTCGACCTACTCCTGCCATCCGGCCACCTTCCACGAATCCCACTGGTTCCGCGGCGCTCCGTGAACCATTCACACGTTGCAGGGAAGAATTTTGCTGTTCTGTGTGCGACAAACTCCCAATTTCGACAATACAAAACGTTTCGACCACGGCAGGATTCGAACCTGCAATCTTCTGCTCCGTAGGCAGACGCGTTATCCATTGCGCCACGCGGCCACGCTTGCAAGAATCTGCACATTGACTTACTGCTACTCTTGGCACTACGAATCATGTCGCGTTCGTTGATCCATTCATGTTGCCCCAGGGAAGAATTTGCGCTGATTGCTGGTGCGACGAATTCTGCCCGAACATTTCGACTAGTACCAAAACGTTTCGACCAACGCAGGAAGTTCGAACCTAGCAATCTTTCTCTGCCGTAGGCAGAGCGCTGTTCATCCATTGCGCCACGCGGATCCACAAACTGCTGCATTGCACACGTCGGCACTCCGTTGATCTCGCCTAAACGGGAGCACTCCGTGATAACATGCATGTTTGTGCTAATCGCTGACTGTTGCAGCCTATGATCCTTGCATCGCAGATGTGCTCAATACTTACACATGGTCTCGAGTCAGGAGACTAGTCAGTGGCCCAACGGCTCAATTTTCTGGCAGAGTATATGTCGTCGCGGCACTGAATGTTTCGCTTGCTTCGTGTTTATCTCGCTGATCTGTAGTCGTACAACACGCGAGTTGTGGTAGCAGCCTCCAAAAAAATTACAGGTGTGTAGCTGTCTTCTGTGAAGCGAACGCCAGCATCCCGCCACGTGACTCAACAGAGCGTGAAAAAGTACCCCGTTCCATTTCGTGCCGGAAAGTGCCCGAGCCTGATCGCCCACGATTTCGACAGCCTGTTCGGATGGCAAATGTCGCTCAGTGTAATGGTTCTCCTCAATTCTTACCCCTCTCTTTAGATCCTCGGAGCCTATTGTCCACTACGATAGCAAGAACGAAAGGAAAGATATACTAAACCTAAGCGGTTTCCAGGGCGCGCCGCGCTCTTGCAACGGCGGTTCCCTTTATATTAAATCTAGGATTGCAACTATATGAAGCAGGGAACGTGTGTTCATTTCCGCTGAACGTTTTAGTAGTACCAAAAAAGTAATGTTGTTCTCAATGATTCGATCCCCCGTGGCGACTAAATTTTGCATTTAGGTTGGCGGGTACTTTTGGTTTCAATATGGTTCCATCCATGATATGATATCTGATTTTAACATATTAGCACATTTACCGCGCTAGCCCCCGTATGCTGCAAGAACGCCCAGATGCCACAATTCACTCCTCCGCGGGGAGACCGGATCTTTGAGAATACCTCGCATTTCTTTTTTGGTACTGCTAAAACCGTCGAGCGAAAATAAATATGGTTTCGTGCCGTCTTCATGGGTGTCTGCTGAGTACAGCAGAGGAACCGTTTTTTGAAAAGCTCGACTGCCTGCAACCTCGCGTTTGACGGTAATCTTTGAAATCACAAAAAACAACTGCGCAACCGATCATCAAGCACGCCCACTATAACTCGGTTTGATTTGATGTAAATGAGCAACAGTGTCCTATAAACCTACTAGTTCGAATAAATGACGACCCAATGGCGCCGCAATTCCGGGATCTCCGAACTTGGCGCCTACTCCCATCGCAACGATCTAATACGCTGCATAGATCGCTCGTCAAGCCCCAGCCAAAAAACCTCCCGGTAATTTCGTGTCAGTGTAAGAATCTTTCCCCGTCTTCGCTTTTTGATTTAACAGCTGGGAAATAATCTACTGGAGAGACACGTCATGGCACGTATCACGCCTTTCGGAAGACAGCTAGAACGTCAAACCATCCATTTACCAGTTTTTTGCTGTGACCTATCCATAAGTTCGATGTTAGAGCAAATGTCGAGCTGAGCATCTCATGAAAAACAGACAATCTCTAGCGCCATGCCAAAGTTAGACTAAAATTTGAAAAACGTAGAGCAAAAAAAACTCATCGACGCCCAACAGCTCAAACAGAATACCTCTTCGAAAAAAAGAAGGGACGGCAGCGCTCGAGTTGTACGGACTGCTTTGCTCCACCGTTTCTCATCTAGCAGCGCGCATATTCACAGTTATGGATTACGGCATCAGGCCGTAATCCACCGTTACACTGTAGACTCGTCCAAATCTAGAGGATACAGTCACCCCACAAATGCCTTACTTTGTTAGACCTTATCGTCAACGAGCCCGCGACAACGCGCTCCGCCTCACTCGGTGGGCCAGCTCCGGTCTCCCGACATCTGTCAACCGTGAGCTAGGCACGTTTGTTGTGCTGTCTGGGAGCTCTCACACAAGCGCACTATTACAGAATCTCCGCTTTCTTTACCTCCTTTGAAAAGGCTTAGTCCCACTACCACAAAGAACGTCTGCTTTTCCTTCTACACTCTCACCCCCTGGTTGACAGAAGCCTTGTAACCGGGCCGCTCTATCCTACCCAGTGAATAGATTCTTCGACACAACCTCTCTGGGGGCATTGCTTCAATTGTAAGGCTTTGACACTGACTGTGAATTTGATGTTCAACTGATTTTTCATTCTTTCAGAGTTCAAGGAGTATATCAACAAGGCTGCTTCGTCTGCATAAACGCCGAAGGCAGCTAGATCGGAAATAACCACATGCAATGGCTCTTCACATTCATTACATGTATTATTTGACAGCCGTGGAATTAAATAAACAGCGAATATTTAGATGCCTGTACACAAAGTGACCCTTCTATACCAGCATTATGAAGAGCGAAAGCACGTCTATCAACGAGCATGCTGGATTTACAGCAGACTAAGCAGACAAAGAGGTTGACTCTAGGAACAGGAGAGCTAGGAAAATTATGGCGAGATTAGTAGCCGGGAGGAGTCCTTGGTGGTGGACAATGTTCGCAGCTTCCACGATCTCCGGCGCTACCATCTGGTCCTGGAGGTCCTGCAGCTCCTGGCTTACCGTACGATCCTGCAAAACAGTTCATTCAATGACTCGTAATCTAATTCAGGAGCCAAGCGTTTATGTATATTCACGCACCTGGATTTCCTTGATCTCCCTGAGGACCTGGTGGTCCAGGCTCTCCAGGTTGTCCCTTCGCTCCTGGAGGGCCAGGTGGGCCAGATGGTCCCATTTCTCCAGGTCTACCAGGAGGACCAGCGGGAGCCTCTCCAGGGATGGTCTTTCCATTCTCACCCTAGGACAAAGATTTCATTGAAAAGTCTTCACACCAGAAAGCTAAGAGCCAACATTACCTTTTCTCCAGGTCTTCCAGGATATCCAGGTGGTCCCGCGGGTCCAGGTTTTCCAGCAGGTCCCTTCTCGCCTGGTTTTCCAGGGGTGCCAGGTTCTCCAGTTTCACCTGGGTAACCTCGAGGTCCTTTTTCACCTGGTGCACCAGGGACTCCGGCAGGTCCAGGAGGACACTCGCGGACGCAAGGCGCTGCCTGTCCCTCAGAGTAGGAATCAGATGCATCTATAACATTTTAAATTTCTCAAACCATTTTTGGCAACCGACTGAATCGCGATTACCTTGTCCTGGTTGGCCATTAGTTCCGGGCTGCCCATCCCTGCCATCCTCTCCATTATCTCCAGCATCTCCTGGGGGTCCTGGTGGTCCAGTTTGACATCCACAGCATTCCGCACCTCCGAGCTCTTGTCCACCCTAAGAAGCAAGTCTCAGTGACACAAGCGAAAAGGGAATAGAGAATAACTCACTCCTGCTGGTCCATGGAATCCCTCTCCTGCGCCGCCATCGCCTGCTCCTCCTGCGCCATTTCCTCCTGCTCCTGGACCTTCTCCAGCACCTGCACCTCCAGCTGCGCCTTCTCCTGCGCCTGCTCCTGCTCCATTGTCTTGGTACTTACCCTGCCTTCGTTCGCGGCTGAAATTAGGACAATAAATTTCAGATCTCGTATTTCCTCTAACGGCTGAATCAACGTACTTTCCACTAGTAGAAATGAAATGGCCGAAAAGCCATCGACCACTTGGCTGTTCGACGGTTTGTCTCTTCAGTCTTTGAAGGGTCTCGTGGTGGCCTTTACCCAACGACACGGTGACCACTTCTCCCCACAGGTCCCTGTTTCGACTCTAAATAAATCAAAATAATTTTAAGATTGGGAAGCTGTTGCAGTTATAGAAAATTCACAGTAAAATAAGCAAGCGCACCTTGCAGAAATGGGCATCGTTGAGGAGGTTGCTGTGCAGTTTCTGCACATTCTGATAGGCCAACGGGATGAAAACGATGCAACCGAGGATGGTCACCGTAGAAATGGTGACCGCTGAGAAAGCGGGACCTGACAAATAAAAAATCATTATTGAAGAAGGATAGTAGAGAAGAGAGGAAGGATTACCTCCTGAATCGGAGCATCTCAGACTCGGCATCGTCCACTAGTTGGTCCTTCATGACTGAGATTTATCCGAGTAGACAAGCAGCCTTTTTATACGCTGGCGATGACCCCGCCTACTTGCCTCGTCTATCTCAGTTGAGGATCAGTAGCGTAAGTGTGAAGGGAAATTTGCTCAGAACAAGATCCACACTACAACACTGCTTTGTATCGTTGACAATCTCTGCCCGCTTAATCCTGAATGATTCAGCAAAGGAATGCGGTCGTGCAAACGTAGTGGATGATCGACCGCATGGACATCCCTCCTTCAGAAGCCCTCCAAACTGCTGTCAATACCAGTCAGCATTCTCTGGTTGATGCGCGAACGATCTTCACAAGACTGTTATAAAAAGGGTCTCTCAGGTTGAGCGAATACACCGGGGGGGGGGGGCAAAGCATTTTTCTCACATTCAAATCGATTTAATCACACTATCCAAAACGGCTATCTTCAAACTAAAACTGAGGAGCGCATTCTGTTCTATGGAAAACCCTCATGGTGACTTTCTACGCGAACGGCATTTGTCCCAGCTTCGACCCGGCGGAAACATGGCGAACTGTGCGAGCTCAACGGGATCCTTGGCGCATCGTGTACCATTAGGAGATCTGAGCTTCTGAAAAGCGGCTCTCGAGGGCCGTGACACATTTAGAGCTAGTGTCTTCTAACTAAAACTATGCAGTGAATCGATTCAAGGAAATGTTGTAAAACCTGCGATGGAAGCAGTTCGGTAAGTCCCCGTAGACAGAGGCGCCATGATTCTTAGCGGGGATAGTGATATGAAGCTTGTGTCTACTTAGAGGGGTATTCTAAGGACATTTTGCTGAAAAACTTGCGTCAACGACGACAATCATTGAAAAATCGCTAAAGCGGGCATGGAAAACCCTTTTTTATAGCCCCCCCTGATTCTTTCGTCTTCTTCATTGACAGGAATACCTGATTTGGGTATTAAGGATTTTCGGTGAAACTCCAGTTCGGGGGGGCCACTCCATTGCTATCTTATCCGTAGTACTAGAGAGCAGTTCTTTGGGCTATCGAACACTACGGATAAGATAATAAGTGAACGACTCATTTCGAGCGTACTTTTGATAAGGACCGGTGGATGTCCTACATTCCACACTACCTGCCCACATCCCATCCACTTTTCTGCACAGGTGATCCACCCTGGAGCTCCCTGCACCCTTAGCCCTTTGCGGAGGTGTCCTTTCTCCTGGTCCAGGACCGTTCCCTTGGGTCATGGCAGGCGGAAATGTGAAAACGTTTCAGGGTTTCTCACCCATTACACCAATATTTATCAGAAGTCTACTTTAAATGAGTCGATTACGTGTCGTGAGCCCTCTAATCCTTATCTTGAGTATTGGAGAAAAAATGGAGCCCCCGAACTGGAGTTTCACCGGTTTGTCTCCAAAACATATTGAAAATTGGACGAATTTGATACGGCAGAAAAAAGTTATGGCTGATCTTTGGAGAAACTTCCACACTCATATACAGAGAGAGGCCATCTGGGACATGTGGATGGTGAGAGGCAAATCCTCTTTGTCCAGAACATTCCCGATTTTACCTGAGTTTTTCTTTCGTACAACTAGTGAGCGAAATACCTGAGTGCGCACATGTATTGCTTCGCACAAAAAAAGGCCGCCGAGTGTTCCCACAGCTTGCGTCACGTCATTAGAAAGTAGGTTTGCCTCAGCGCCATGTATCGCCAAGTACTTGACGCGTTTGTGAACGACGGTGGACATGAAATGCAGACAATAGCCGCTGAAACAACTATCAGGTCGATAAATGAATATTAGGCCGATGTCAGACTTTGCGAATCGCGCGATTCGCTAGCGTCTGCGGTCGCGTCGCGGCCAGTGAATCACTCAATTGGCTGGTACCGCAACGCGACCGCGGACGCTAGCGAATCGCGCGATTCGCAAAGTCTGACATCGGCCATAGCTGTTCAGAGTGTTCAGGCCGAGTCTGTACCGTCTGTCAGTTGAGGGCAAGGCAAGAGGAACAAGCAATGAAATAGGTGCCAAAACCAAGGGGTTTCAAACCAAACGAGTTTCAATTGTTATGCATTCCTCTCATCTTGCTGAAATACGTAGTTGCTTTTTATTCCGCTAGAACAGCATAGATTACCAGTGGTTCATAGAACACACCACACATTTTATCATTTTCGGGTAGCTCAGCCACATTTTTCGAAACCTACCCACTTCCATGGGCCCTGACAGCTTAAATAGCTTTATCGTCCCAATACCATACCATCCACCGGTTTCCTTCCGAAACCCGTAAGATCATACCACCTACAGGGGAGGGGCCAAAAAAAGAGTCTCGGACTCACCATTTAAAAAAAAAAACAGAATAAAAAAAAAAAATCACTCTGACTCACATTCAAATAAGAATAAATTAAACTTTGCCGGAACCAAACCAAATGAGCTCAATTGCATATTGAAAAGCACATTCTATTCTATCAGAAAAATCACATAGGGGCTTTCTACACCGACGACATCAGAAGATTTTCCCACGGAAACATGGTTCGCGGTACGAGCTCAACGAGGTCGTCAAGAAACCATAGACGATTACGACGTCTCTGAAACGCTGGTCAAAAGCCATTTTGCATAGTCAGAGCTAGTGTCCCTAAGAAGTCATTCACCAGTTATCCGATTGAAGAATTATGTAGCAGCTTCAGAATGGAGCGATTATGGTAGGCCTCCTTGAGCTCGACGGTGATGACAGATGACGTCATATTCTGGAGACGGTGAAAGCAGCGAAGGTGGGCCTGATTCTGCTTATGGGGGACATCTAAGGAATAATTTGCCGTATAACTCCCAATAACAGCGGCATCCTTTGCGACGAAAAAAGTTTTCCGTCCGTTATATGCGGCCATGGGCACAAGTGATCGTCTTTTTGCCCCCCCCCCCCCTATATACATGCGCATAGAATTGTATGCTGTCCGACTGTCTTTCCTGAAATTCATAGCTTTGTTCCCATTGCTCGAAGAATTCGAGGAATCGTCAAACTTAGTAGAAGTAAGAGGACGGGATGGGGACACTTATAGTGATAAGAAAGCAGGAAGTGATAAGTACGTAGAAGCTTGTAAAACGGCATGGAGTGCCGATGGTCGCCGCAGTTTCATTACCCCGTTTTGAAGCTGACATGCGCGTGCTGGACATCACATAAGAGGTTACATCATGGGAATGCGGACCGCTGGACCAAGAAGTGGAGCGAAAGATAAAATACCAAGGTGATAGTGGTAAGGTTCCTCATTTCTAAATACTAAAATCAATCACAAGGATTTCGAGAGGGGACCAATTTCGGTGCCCGCTACAGTGTACGCGCTCAGGGATGCCATCTCAATTTGTAACTGTTCTACTTCAGAACCTTTCTATTCATTTCTGTTCCCATTCGCTTTAACCCTTTCCGTCCGTGAATAAATAAATAATAAAATAAATTCATAAATCCAGAGAAAAAACCTTCCAACAATTTACACTGAATGCCAAAGGAAACGTTACGTTCACGAAAAGTGGGACCATTTCCGAAATTATGAAGGCTGCACGTAGTTCGAGATTTCACCTAAAAACGGAAAATTTTCCACACGTGCACTAGACACTTGCCGGCCCAACCGAGAATATTCCCAACCTGTGGAACTGGATTATTTTTTTATCTGACAAAATTCCTAGTGACTAGAAAGTCTCTTGTCTACTTTCGCCATCTTAGCAACATTTCCTGTTTACATCCGAATGGAAATGACCTCAATCTGGACGCCTCGATCTGAAAGATTTTCACTTGCTGATTACCTATATAAAAAATGTGGGAGCGAGTCCTTTTTGTGGAGGGAAAATGCGCTCTTCTCGCACCAGCTCCGGTTGCAGTCTGCAGTCCACTTGAAACTGTACCAGCGACAGTCGATTAACTGGTAATAGCCGATGCAAAAAAAATTGGAGCGGATCTGGCTTCTAGCCGCCTAGATTAGCCGCAATCGAGCCGCACTCATTGGATCAACTCGGCAGGGATCGGAGCCAAAAAAAAACTATAGCGCTTCTATTAAAGAAGGAGGAATCAAATTGTACATTCGAATTGTAGTTGGGGCGAGTGCTAAAAAACACGCTCCGGAAAAAATGTCACAAAAAAGAGTAGTTCAATACGATGTGAGGTCAGGATCAAAAACCCCTGAAATAAAATTAGCTTCAGCTCTTGAGCGATATGGACGCGTTCTCTCGAGTTAGAAACAGCGCTAGCCCTCAGACATACCAAGTCCTGCAACATGTTTTTTATTTGCCTATTTATTTATTTATTTATTTATTTGTTAATTACACGGAAAAGGTGCGCACATAGTGAAGGACAAGAGTTGAGACGGTGACGAGTCCATACTATTAGGTCGGTCCATAATTTTTGAGAACCTTTGGTGTTTTTCGATTAATTACTTATCTTATTTCTCTGATGTATTTATTCAGCATAGTATACATCACCATTATTACCAACATATCAACCAATGCGAGGGTGGGTATTCAGTGTCTCTCTTGTAGAATTTCATAGAGTTCTGATCGAAGAAAATTGGATGTCGATTTTGACATTATGGTGATTCAAGTGAGATTTCTTTTCCAGAAAGTGATTCAGAGTGGAGAGCGGATAGTCATTCGTTGGCACAGTGCTGCTACAAGGGGAGCTAAAAGAACTGACCGCCCGAGAGTCTCCAATTTTTTATGGAATTTTCTTAGCAAGGTGGGCTCGAACGACCTCAGAAAAAAATAGATTTTGTCTTACTTTGCTTTCAAGTTGAAGGCGTTGCCATCAAGCTGTCAACGATTATCTTCATCACTGACACTGGTATTAGTTGGTGCCGGTTCCCAGCGCAAAGCCCTCTCGTATTCCGCCAACGACTCAGGAAGTTAGAATTCAGAGGGAGTTGGGTTTTTGCTGTCAGAACTCCCGAATCGTTTAAGCTAAGCTACTGCGGCTTGTGGATTTGTTAGCACACTGCACCCAGTCCACATCACCGATGAGTATGTGGATGGTCA